CTTTTTATTTTTGAACTCTTTGTTTCTTTAAATTGTATTTTGTGTGGGCGGTATATAATTGGGTTCTGCATCTTAACTAACCGTCTCTGCATTTTACAATTGTGGTAGTTAGACCATTTTCACTTGATGTGATATAAATAAGATTAAACTTGAGCCTGTTATCTTGTTACTTGTTTCCTATTGTCCCATGTTTGTTGTTAAACAAATGATCGTCTTCATTCTGTCACTATAACTTTTTTGTATCCATCTCTTTTTACCAGATATTTTTATTATTAGTCCTTTTGGATTTTGAGTTTTTAATGATTTTTGTCTATCAATACCTTGATCTCATGTACTCATTAGTCAAAGCATGCAACTGCAAATAAGCTTATCTGATCAGTAAGGTACACTACTTGCCTTACTAAATTACTGTGACTCTCAGTGAATATGTAAAAATATTACCAGGTTTTGAAGCTTTAATATAAATGTGATTTCTAATAGGCTTGTTCAATACTGAAAATAGCTCCCACATCTTCTTTTAAGGATCTTTGGAGATTCTTAAAAATGACTGAATTTGATTATTGCAAGTTACCATTAAAGAAGAAGAAAATTCAATGACTTCCCAGAAATTATAATTAACCTTAAATTACAGATCCTGATTAGTCTTACTTTTTCACAAAATGCTCAATGTTCATTTTTTTTTTTTTTTTGAGAGTTTTTGCTGTAGAGTACATGTGCTCACCAGAAAGACAGACAGTGAGAAATCACTCCTCAGGAGGGATAGCCGTGCTGCAATCCCTTCTTCTCTAGTCTCCTCTTGGGATTTTTGGGCACATACGCACAGGCACCTGGTATGAGTTTTAGGCTGCTAGGTCCAGACTGGAACTAAGGCTGACTACCTGAGATTCCAGCAATGTAACCATTATGCCATCTGTTGGTCCCGCTTACAAAGTAAGGCTACAAAGCAGTGTGGCAGGTTTTCTTCTGTCACTTGTAAACTGGATTAAAAGGCAGTCCTCTGAATTCCAGAAATGTAGTGGAGATACTGTCATTTTAATTTACAATCAGGATAAATTACATTCAACTGGGAGTCAAGGTGTTTGGGTTCTAGTTGCCATCTTGAATGGGTCTTCACTTTCTTGATATCAGAAGTGCTGTCACAGAATGAAAGAGGCTTAATCAGGTCGTTTTGAGCTCTGTTATTTTGTAATGCTATGAAATGAGAGTAACATGTTCCAGGTTTTTAGGGTCAGGAATTTTAGAACTTTATTCAGTGTATTGCACTTTTATAATTTCTACCTTTTTAAAAGTCTGATTTGAATATATACATATGTAGTACGTATTTCCCCCATGTCCTCTGCATTTAAATATATTTTCCTATGTAATAGCCTCTTCATAAACAGTAAAAAGGTTTCTCAATGGAGCCAGTAAGGGGCATGATGGTTAAGGTACTGGACTCCCACATGTTTGATCATGGTTGAAGTCCCAGACCCGGCAGTTTGAAACACACTGGCCATGTTTGCACACGTGCTCAAAATTCCCAGAGAAGAATGAAGGACAAGGGATTGAAGTGTAGCCATCCCCCCTGGGGACTGATTTCTCACTTTCCTTCTCTCTGTCTCTCTCTTATTTCTCTCTCTGTCTCTCTCCAGTGAGTCTACTCAACCATATGGCAAAAATCTAAAAAAAGAAAGAAAAAAAAAGAAACGTTTATCAGATGTATTTTCTTCATTTCTTGTTTGTTTTTGTTTTTTTCCCTTTGGGGGGGTTGTAGGGTGGATCCCTTTTTAAAATTTCTTTATGATCTCTTCTAAAGTTGTTGAACCAAAGCTTTACCACCTTTTTCCAAGATTTGCCCCTCTTATCCAAAACTACATTGCTTTTCCTAAGCTCTAGCACCCTAGAAAGATGCTGACAGAGCTCAACATTAGCCTCTCCTTCAGATGGAGTTTCTGCAGCAGCTACATTTACAGGGCTTCAGTCCTAAAATCTGTTACAGTATTTTGTTTGGAGCAGACTTGACATGGATGTCTGTGGTGCCACAGCCTTTAGGATAGACTGCTGCAGGAGCCGAGGGAAGAAGTGGACTCTCTGTTCCTTGTTCTGGCTTTTATACCTTAGCTTTCTAAGGCATCTCAGTGCCATGAGAGCCAAGCAGAGGCCCAAGTGCCCAGTCCTGCCCCACCTGTCTCAGCCCACAGCCAGGCTAGAGCATCCCTACCTAGGGAGGTAGCAAGACCATTTTGATGGTTGCTTTAAAATGTACCTCTTTATCATAGTCTACTTTCAAGGGCTATTGTACCATTTCATGTATAAGATTGTGTAATAGTGTACTTCCATTTCTTTCTTCCTGGCCTCTAAGCTGTCGTTTGTCAAGCATTTTTCTGTTATATATAGCATAAACCCTCATTTTTGTTTAAACAAAATCAATGATATCTTCAAACACTTCAAGTACTAAAGAAAAAGCCCTAATATATGCTGCCTTTGTAGTTACCCTTTCTGGTGCCCTTCATTCCTTTGTTTAGATGCACATTTCCATGTGATACCATTGTGCTTCCACCTGAAGGTCTTCCTTTTACATTTTTTGAAACATGGGTTATTTTGGTCATGAATTCCTTAGTGCATCTGACAGTGTTTTGATTTAGCCTTTTTTAAGCTGTTTTTATCAAGATATAACTCATATACCATATCATTTATTCATTGAAAGAGGACAATTTGGTATTTTTAGTGTATTTATGGGATTGCGTAACCATCATCACTCTCTTAGGACACTGATGAAACTCCATATCCATTAGCAGCAGTTCTCATTACCTCCTATTCACCCTTTGGTGAAGGAGGGATCCCCTGCTTTAAATACTGTGAGGTGGCTGAACATGTGACATCCAACACTGGACAGGTGAGACTGACAGCACCTTATTAGTCACTTCTGCTAGCCGCTAGCCCGAGGAAGGCCTCGTACATATAGGGGCACACAGTTGTTGGACTTGGGAGCATAGTGAATGAACACGGGCTGTGGGAGTCAGATTATAATAAGAGGTTAGATGACTCTTATTTCTCACTGATGTGATTGACTTGTTTGAATAATTTTATAGGCAGGCAGAGAAATAAAAAGTAGCATAGCTAGCCCAATTGATAGTGGAACTGTTCAAATGGGGAGCCTTTTTCATTGAGTGAGAAGCATATCTAGTGAGAGCAGGCAAACTTGGGGCCTGTGGGGCCCCTTGGGGCTCACAGATGTCATGGAAGCACTTATTACTAAATCTAATTCTAGACCATATTCTGCAGCATCCTAACCCATTCCTCCCTGATCTCTCCTCTCCTCTGGCCCTGACAACCACATGGATTTGCTTATTTTGGACATTTCATAAAAATAAAATCATACAATATATTTTTTCTTTTAGCATTATGTTGTCAGGGGTCATCCATGTTATAGCATCTTTCAGTACTTTATTTCTTTTTATTGCTGAAATATATTCCACTCTGGAATTACCACATTTTATTTATCTGTTCATCAGCTGATGGGCATTTGGGTTGTTTCTAGTTCTTAGCTATTATGAATAATGCTGCTATGAATATTCATACATGTTTTTGTATTAATGTATATTTTAATTTTATTGGAGTATAAACCTTGACTTGTCTTTATTTTTTTTTTTTTTAATTTTATGCACTCACTGGAGAGGCATAGAGAGAGGGAGAGTGAGAGTGAGAAATCGCCTCCTTCCCCAGGGGGTGGAGGAGGATAGCCACACTGTAATCCCTTTCCTCCATTCTCCTCAGGATTTTGGGCACGCATGCACATGCACTTAGCCAGGTCCAGTACTTAAACCACTGTTGGCCATATCAGAATCTAGTGCCTTAACTACTATGCCACCTGCTGGCCCCACCTTTGCTTTTTAATAGTTTTTTTTTTTTTTTAATTTGCCAGAGAGAGATGTTTGCCAGAGTTGTGAGTGGGGTAAAGGAGAGGGGGAAAACACCCCTCTGGTGCTTTTCAAGTCTCTTATGATTTGTTTGGTGGGCCTATTACAATGGTCAGTCTGGGTTCATCTCCACTATACAGACAAGACCTTCTTTTTTTTTGAGAGGTTTTTTTCGCTATAGGGTGCGTGCGCTCGCCAGACAGACAGAGACAGACGGAGAGACAGAAAGCGAGAAATCACCCCCCCAGGGGGGATGGTCACGCCGCAATCCCTTCTCCTCCATTCTCCTCTCGGGATCTTGGGCACGCACGCACACGTGCCTGGCGTGAGTTCTAAGCTACCGGGTCCGGGACGCGAACCGCGGTAGACTACGTGGGAGTCCAGTGACATAACCATTATGCTAACTGCTGGTTCCCAGACAAGACCTTCTTGAATACTCGCATTCAGTTCCTCTTAGCTGCCTTGGTCTTCCTGGATTCTCGGCCTTATCTTTTCAACTAAAGGAGTCTTCTGTGTTCTGCCTTATTTTCCCCTCTCTACCATGGTCTGGAAACTTTCTCAAGACCATCATAGGGGTCACCTTAGTTTCCAGAATCTCAGAATTATTGCCTCATTATCGGATGTCTAGTGTTTTGAAAATAGTAATTTTCCTCATTAGGTTATTTCAGGCAGGAAGCTCAGTCCAGTCTTTCTTGCTCCACCTTGGGTGGAAGAAGTCTGTACAAGGTGTTTTGTTTTATTTACTAAGTTCATTTGTTTGTTCCATGAGCAAGCGAGAGCGGTACACCCCCCAACAGGGCCCTCACATCACAGTCTACCTGCAGCATCAGCTAGCCCTTGACCATGTGCACACATATGCCCAGTATGTCCAGGGAAGTCACTGGACTTGAACCTGGAACCGCCCATGTGGGTCAGCCTCGCAGAGCCTTGCATTACTGCTGCACCACCATTTGGCACCCCTAAACGGTTTTGAGAGATGAATAATCAATTGGGATATAAGCTCTTTCATTAATCTTTCTCCAGCAAATGTTTTCATTAGTATTTTTAATTATTTCCATGATAAAGTTCTTAGGCTCAGTAAGTGTTCTATTGCTTTTACAGCTCACCTCTGAATATTGATATGCTTGGTAGCCCAGACTTAATGGAAACAGCCATCAGTGATGAAATTGGGGCACCTGACAGTATGGAAACATCCCAGGCACCAGTCGAAGTTAATGTAGCCACCAGGCAAACTGGATTAGAGGAACCTGCAGTTGAATGTGGGAGTAAGTAAATGCTCTGTACTACATCAATGAACCTTCCTTTCAGAAGGAGAGAAAATATTTTATTCTAAATAATAATAATACAATCTTCTTAGAATATTATTTTATGAATAATATCTCACAATATTTTATGCAATAGTTGATTGTTTTAGATTTAATTGAGAGGAGGTATGCAGACTTCTTGCCAGAGGGCATGTGCGCTCACCAGAGAGAAAAAGTACCTCCGAGTGGGGCATGGTTATGCCACAGTCCCTTCTCCATTTCTCCATCCCATCATGATTTTAGGCATGCATGTACACATACTGGTGTGTTCTTTACCAGGGCTGGTATTCAAACCACAGTCAGCCATGTGGCATCTCGCTTCCTTAACCACAATACTGCAGGGTCAGTCCATATTTATGAATTTTAAAATGTACTTTTTACTTTTTTTCTTGAGCGTAAATTTTTAAAAAATAATTATCTATTAAAGTTTATTTATTCATTCATTTATTTTTAATTTGACAGTGAGAGACACAGAGAGAGAGAGAGCAAGAGGGGAAATGAGAAAGCAAGCCACCAGGTCCGGGAATCGAACTGTGGTCAGCCATGTGGGAGTGTCCAATGCCCCAACCACCATGCCACCTGCTGGTCCCCTTGAGTGTAAATTAAGAAGAAAAAAAGTATTTTTAAAAGATTTTCTAGGACACAGGATTGAATGAATGACATTCTATTAGCTTATAGAAAGTGTTTTGGTTTTATAGTTTTCGTCTTGTTTGTTTTTGAGAGAGATTTTTGTTATAGAGCATGTGTGCTCACCAGAGAGATGGAAAGCAAGAAATCAACCCTCCCTGCAGGGGGATGGCCATGCCACAATTCCTTCTCCTCCATTTTCCTCTCAGGATTTTGGGCACACATGAAATCTTGGTGTGACTTTTAAGCCACTTGGGTCTGGGACTGTGGTCAACTACATGGGAATCCAGCAATGTGACTATTACGCAATCTGCTGGTCCCTTGAGTGTTCTATAAAATTTTAGTTCTATAAAATATTAACAGAGAGAAGGCTGCTTTTCTTCACCTTTCAGAGGTTCAAAGGAGAAAGTGAATTACTCATTGAAAATGTTTGTATATTTGTGAGTTTGCTTTGATATTGAAGCATAAACTTATAAATAAGATTTTTCTGTTGAATTTTAATATAATACCTGTTCATTTTTATAAATAGGAACAAGCTTTTATTTTTATTTGGCTCTTTCAGTTTTGATTTCTGTCATAGTTTAAACTTAGACACCATCTTTAAACAACTCATAGAAAATTGCCAGTGAATATGCTTTTTTCCTTGGAAGAGTGTAGCAATAGTATTTAGTTATACAGAAATAAGAAGTGTTAATGAAAAGTCACACAGTGCTTCTGGTCAGTAGAATAAACAGAAGCAGCACTGGTAAGAACAATTTAAAATTTTGTTTTTTTGTTCCCTAAGTAACCACCCCAAATATACATGGCTAAGCAAATGTTCTGGCACATCATGATTGTTATATTTCTTTCTTTCTTTCTTTCTTTCTTTCTTTCTTTCTTTCTTTCTTTCTTTCTTTCTTTCTTTCTTTCTTTCTTTCTTTCTTTCTTTCTTTCTTTCTTTCTTTCTTTCTTTCTTTCTTTCTTTCTTTCTTTCTTTCTTTCTTTCTTTCTTTCTTTCTTTCTTTCTTTCTTTCTTTCTTTCTTTCTTTCTTTCTTTCTTTCTTTCTTTCTTTCTTTCTTTCTTTCTTTCTTTCTTTCTTTCTTTCTTTCTTTCTTTCTTTCTTTCTTTCTTTCTTTCTTTCTTTCTTTCTTTCTTTCTTTCTTTCTTTCTTTCTTTCTTTCTTTCTTTCTTTCTTTCTTTCTTTCTTTCTTTCTTTCTTTCTTTCTTTCTTTCTTTCTTTCTTTCTTTCTTTCTTTCTTTCTTTCTTTCTTTCTTTCTTTCTTTCTTTCTTTCTTTCTTTCTTTCTTTTTTTTAAGAATTATTTAATTTAATTTTATTTATTTATTCATTTATTTTTTAATTTGACCAGAGAGAGACACAAAGAGCGAAATAGAGAGAGGGAAAGTGAGAAAGCAAGCCACCAGGTCCAGGACTTGTACTGTGATTGGCCATGTGGAAGTTTCTAGAGCCCTAACCACCATGTCACCTGCTGGTTCCCCATCGTGGTTGTTGTGTTTCTTAACATCTGCAGTGTTTAAATTGTGCTTGCTAGTCTGAGTCAAGTAAACAAAATTAACTATGATTTATTATGTAGACAATTTCAGAATAGTACTCTACTTTGCTTGTTTACATATTTCCACCTATATCTGATGGTAAAGATTACTTATAAGTAATCTAGAGATGACTTAAAATATATAAGCAAGTATGTACAAGTTATATATAAATACTACTCTGTTTAATATGAGAACTTGAGCATCCACAGATTTGGTATTTGTGCAAATCCTTGAACCAAATCCCTGCAGATACCAAGGGACAAGGTTATTTATTTTGTGTTCACCTGGTTGATAAATTTTAATCAATGTAACTGTGGCTGAGAAAACAAAACCGTATTCTCATATGGCTATGGCAGCCTAGCAGACTGAGGGACTGTTTTGCCATTTTTTTCCAGCACTGAAAGATGCCTCAGAGAAACTCAAGCAACTTGAGACAGAGAGCAGTTCTTTGCCATCCCCTCGATCCAACATCGATGTTAACCTCAACAGTCAGGTATTTGTT